CTCTTGCAGCCTCCGGGCTTCCTGGGTGGCCAGCTCTCCGTGGAGAGCAGCCACTGTCAGCCAGGAGCCCTGCCCTGCCCTGCCCGGGGCAGACGTGGGGCTGGACAGGACCAAGGGCACCCGGCACAGGGGTGAGACACCTGCAGCCTCCTGCAGAGAGTCTGAGGCATTGCAGTGCTGGGCTGTGGTCGCTTTGGGGGTGGGGGGGTGTTTGCGTGTGCGTGCAAGCATGCATGTGAAGGTGTGCCTATGCCTGTGTGTATGCACTCATGTGCATGCATATGTGTGCTTGTGTGTGCGTATGTGGGTGTGCCTATATGTGTGTATGCTTGTGTGCATATACATGTATGTGTATACCTGCACACATGCGGGGGTGCGTGCACACCCTTTGCTGCTCTAGTAGCTGTTGCTTCCAAGTCCTTGTGGTCTCCAAGCAACCGCTCAAGCAAAGGCAGAAAGCGGGAGTGCTGGGGGGTTACAGCAAGGGAGAGGGGAGTGTGTGCCCCGGAGGAGGATGCTCATGGTCCAGGAGGGAGGGAGGCAGCTTGGCTGGGCCTTGGGGACACGGAGGAGGGCAAAGCCCCTTTCCCTGAGCCCTATGGCAGCTTTCTGGCTCCTGCTGGCCCCTAAAGAGACAGGCCAGGCAGGTGCCAGTTTCCTGGCAGGATGCCCCCCTAGCCCAGCCCAGCCCAGCCCAGCCCATTTCCCCATATCCCCTTGTTCCTGCCCCCATGGGCACACTGGGGATGCAGCCTCACTGCCTCAAGCCCTGCAGTGCTGCCCAGGCTCCCAGTGTTGCCCTGGGGGGCAGCCAGTACCACACACTTCTGTGCCATGGGGAAACTGAGGCAGGGCCAAGCTGGTGAGAGAGAGCTGCCTCCCAGGCACCCCCTGCGCTGACCCCGCCGGCCCCTGGTCCCGTGCAAGCCTTCTGGGGTCATGGCCTGGCTTGGCTGAGCCACAACCCTGGGGGCATCAGCTCCCACATCTGGCCAGACCTCCACTGCCTCCAGATCTCCTGGGTTCCCAGGACTGGCTGGGCAGGACCTCAGTGCCCCTCAGCCCCTGCTGTGCTCTCTGGTGCCTGCCAGCCCCGTCATCCTATACAGGACAGCCAGGGTTGGGGGTGCCTTCCTCCACCCCCTCAGCTTCTCTCCCCTCCCACCCCTGGGGCATGTCCACGGCTCCAGGGCCCCTAGTTCTGGCTTTGCCAACTTCCTGCCCACTGCTGCTCGCCAGCCCCGTGCCCCTGCCCAGCTGCCTGGGGTAACTGGCATGCAGGGACTCAATGGGGAGCAGCCGGGAATGGACACATGGACAGCCTGGGGCTGGGCGCTGTGGGGCACGGCATCAGAGGCTTGCAACGTGCTGCCACGAGTGAGTGTGCGAGTGAGCGAGTGAGTGAGTGCACCTGCTGGTTTTTATGGGGCACACTAGCGATGCGTTGTAAACATGTGTGCATGTGCGTGTGAGTGCACTCGTTGATTGTTATGGGGTACACTGGTGATGCCACGGCTAACATGTGGGTCTGCGTGTGCATGCACACATGTGCCTGTACCTGCTGAACCTTGTGGGGTGCACACTCAGTGCCCTGGCTAATATGTGTATAGGTATGTGCTTGTGCACGTGTGTGTGCACCTGAACACGGTGGGCCTTGTGAGGCATGCTGGTGATGCCGTGGCTAACGTGCGAGTGTGTGTGCTCTCACTCACGTGTGCATCGACATCTTCTGAGCCTTGTGGGGCACACTGGTGATGCCCTGGCTAACATACATGTATGGGGGGGGGCCCTCCCCAGCTATACGTCAGATCAGACCTAAGCAGACCCCTCCTGTTCCCCGGTGGACCCCCACTTCCCCGGCTCCTTGGCCTCTCCAGCTCGGGAAGCTCCACCCTTCTGCAGCCGGCATGGGGCTGGGAGTTCCCTGCTCTTTGTTTACAGGAAGGAGCAGGTTTCACAACCCCCAGGCACGGTGTTGCTGCCTTCCTCCAAGACCAACCCTCCACCCTTCCCTTCCCGTGACCCCAAACCACTTTTCTCGTGTGGCTGCAGGATCCAGGGATCCCCCACTAGCCCACAGTCCTTTGTCCGCCTCCACCCCCTGACGCCTGTCTGGGATGCTGCTGCCCTTTCCAGCACAGGCTGTCCAGGGACAAGGGCATACCGTACTCACCTGAGTTTGCCGAGCCCCTCCCCAGGCTGGGGCCAGCCCAGGAGACATCTCCCAGCTGCCCTGTCCGTGCCTCCCAGACTGGCACATTCAGCTGGGGGATATCGGCACCCCCCATTACCGTGTCTGTAGCTGCGGAAGCGCGAGGGGCCCGTGGTCACGCAGCCGCTTGGGTCCTGGCAGGTTCGAGAAGGGGCGGATCTACACGTACATCGGGGAGGTGGTGGTGTCAGTGAACCCCTACCGGGCCACGGAGCTGTACGGCCGGGACGTCATTGAGCAGTACCGTGGGCGCGAGCTCTATGAGCGGCCCCCCCACCTCTATGCTGTAGCTGATGCCGCCTACAAGGCCATGAAGCGCCGTGCCAAGGACACCTGCATCGTCATCTCCGGTAGGGGCGCCCAGGGACCTTGCATGTGTGTGTGCACGCTTCATGGGTGCAAGAACGTAGCCTGGGGCCTGCTCCCCAGGGTACTGTTGGGTGTGCTGCAGCTTGGAGTCCCCCAGCCCCCTGCCACTGGGTCTGGACCTCCAGTCCTTGCTGCCCACAGCAGCCAGGGCACATCATGCCCGTGCTACTGGCCCTACAGCAGCCTGGGCTGGTCCCTGTGGCTTCCAGCCCCCCCATCACTGAGTTTCAGTAAGCTGGGGGGCTGTGAGCTCTTTCTAGCCCATCTGTCTGTCTGGCAGGGGAGAGTGGTGCTGGCAAGACAGAAGCCAGCAAGTACATCATGCAGTACATCGCGGCCATCACCAACCCCAGCCAGCGCGCCGAGGTGGAAAGGTGAGTGGGTCTGGGGTGGGCACTGGGGGGGTGTGTTGACTTGCCTGGGCCTGGTCCCTCTGCTCACGATGCCCCGTTCCTGCCCCCATAGGGTGAAGGACGTGCTGCTCAAGTCCAACTGCGTGCTGGAGGCCTTTGGCAATGCCAAGACCAGCCGCAATGACAACTCCAGCCGCTTTGGCAAGTACATGGACATCAACTTCGACTTCAAGGGTGACCCCACCGGCGGCCACATCCACAACTACCTCCTTGAGAAGGTGAGGGGGCAGGGGCAAGTGGCTCCAGGGCTGGAGATGGTGCCCTGGGCCCCCTGGGCTGGGAGGACAACCTGCTGGGGCTGCCCGGGAGCATGGGGGAGTGGAGCTAGATGGTTCTGCCTGGCGGGGCTGGCAGATCAGGCCCTGGGCCAGCAGGACCTGGTACCTCTCACTGACATCCTGGCCTTGCCCTTGCAGTCTCGCATCCTCCAGCAGCAGCCGGGCGAGAGGAACTTCCACTCCTTCTACCAGGTGAGTGGGCAGCTGGGCTGGGGGTACGAGGCTGCAGCTTGGGGTCCTTCAGGGCACTTTGGGATCCGGGCAGAGCCCCCGGCTCCCGTGGTGGCACATCCCTGATTGCTGCCTGGCAGCAGGGAGCTGGCAGGGCCACAGTCCCCACAGTTTGGGGCTGTACTGGGGAAAGGAGTCACTCAGATTCCCTGATGGCCTGGGCTGCTGGCCACTGTGCCTTGGCAGCTGGGTGACCGGGCTGTGCACCACTAGCTACTGAACATGGGGAGCACAAGAACATCAGCACTGCCATGTGCTGGGTCAGACCCTAGGTCCATCTCCTGCGTTACACAGCGGCAGAGAGCAGAGGCTGGAAAGGAGAGTGACCTAGTTCTGGCCAGGGTTTTTCTCACTCAGCCTCCGGCATTTCAGGTCTGGGATGCTCTGATTCAGAGCTCCTGTGCTCCACAGCTACTAAAACCCCTTTCCTCCAAGAACGTGTCCAATGCCTTTGTGAATCTGGCTAAACGCTCAGCGTCCCCCACATCTGGTGGGAGCGAGCCCCTCCCGTTAATGACACGCTGGGTGGAAAAGAACTTCCTTGTGTTCACTGCAAATGGATGACCTGCTAGTTTCATGCTGCGATCCCTCGTTCTTGTATTGAGAGAGACAGTCGATCATAAATCTCTATTGACTTTCTCTTCCACATTTAGTATTTTGTAAGCCCTTGCCGTGTTCTCCCTCAAGCATCTCTTCTAAACAGAACGGACCTGGCCTCATTAGTCTCTCCCCGTATGAAAGCCCCTCCATGCCACTGATCATTCCCGCTGCCCTGCTCTGGACCCGACTCAGAGGGGCACAGTTGCAGCTGCCGTCTTGTGGAGCCGCATCCCCTCTCTGCTCCGCGCCCCCACAGAAAGGAGCCTCCTGGGGGAGCAGAGCCGGGCCGTGCTGCCTGCCCTGATTCCCCATGAAGTCCTCCAGCGACCTGTGACCACCTGCCCTGGGTCCTTCCCCGCTGCATGGGCTATGGGGTGTCAGCGCTGCCTCTTCCTCCAGCTGCTGCTTGGGGCCTCGGACACGTTGCTGAACTCCCTGCACCTGACCCGAGATGCCGCAGCTTACCGCTACACCCAGGAGAGCGCTGGTACCAACGTGAGTCTGCCCACAGGCCCAGGGGTGAGAGGAGGGGGAGCTCAGGCACTGGGGCCATCCAGAGCCAAAAGGTGGGGGCTGGGGTCCTGGGCATCTCTCGGGATCAGGCCACATCACCCGGAGCCACGGCTCACCCTGCCCCCCAACACTGCCGCAGTCCATGAACAACGACAAGTCCAACTACAAGGCGGTAGCGGATGCCATGCAGGTGATCGGCTTCAGCCCTGAGGAGGTGGACTCCGTGCACAGGATCCTGGCCACCATCCTGCACCTGGTGAGTCACGGGGTGGCCTGGCCGCGGCCGTGGCCCCGTCCTCGGCGCCAGGGCCCTGCCCCGTGCTGGCTCCGGGGGCTGTGCAGGGTCCTGGCATTGGAGCCGTGTGGCTGACAGCATCTCCCCGGGGGGAGTCCAGGGCAACGTGCACTTCGTGATGCCCGGGGAAGCAGTGGAGGTGGAGGACATGGCGCTTGTGTCCCACGTGGCAACGCTGACGGCAACAGAGCCGGAGAAATTGCTCCAGGCCCTGCTCTACCGAACTGTGGCCGCTGGGAGCGGTGAGGTTATTGCCAAGGGCCACAGCACCACGGAGGCCAGCTACGCCCGGGACGCCTGCGCGAAGGTGAGTGGGGGTCCCTTTCCCCAGCTCCTGGGAGTCCAAACCTCCCCTAACACACACGTCCCAGGCACTGCCCTCAGCCGGCTGGATCAGCTCTGGCAAGCCTGGCACAGCACAGCCATGCCACGGGTTGTGCCCACGTACAGCTGGGACCATTGCCTGGACCATGCTTACCCCTGCGTGGCATGGAGCCTCCAGGTGCACCATCGCTGGACAGACTTTGGGGACACGGCCTGTTCCCTCGCCCAAGCTACTCTGACCTGCCGGGGCTGGGCCTGTGTGACAGCCCCTGTCCTAGTGCCAGGGCACAGGTGTGACAGGTCCCGAACAGGGCAAGGTCCTGCAACTGGGGCATCTTCTGCATGGGGAGGGTGCAGAGTGAGTTGGGTTCGTGGCCTGGAGCCTGGGCAGAGCCCACACGGCTTGGAAAGTCTCTGCGGCTGCAGTGCCTGGGAGCCCTGGTTACACCGTGCCTGGGAGCCAGAGCTACAACTGGGGGACTCCCCTGCAGTCCCAGCACCAGCAGCCCCCCTGTGCCCGCGACAGAGGGTGGTCGATTCACACCCCGAGCCCCCGCCATGGGGCAGTAGTGACCATGCCCACCCCCTGCCCCCCCCAATCCTCCCTGGCCTGCTGAAAGGTGCAGTTCCCACAGACCCAGTGGGGGCAGGCTGGGATGGGCAGGCCAGGGAGCATCTCCTCCATCTCTGTCCCCACAGGCTATCTACGAGCGGCTGTTCTGCTGGATCGTGGGCCGCATCAACGCCGTCATTGAGGTGCAGAACTACGACCCCCGGCTGCACGGCAAGAACACCGTCATCGGCGTCCTTGATATCTATGGCTTTGAGATCTTCGACTGCAACAGGTATACCGCCCCCCACCCACCCCTGCTGGTGGCCTCCCAGGGGTAGCCTCCTCAATAGCACCTTTCCCAGCATGCATAAGGGCTGGGGCCCCCGGCTGGGGGCAGCTGAGTGAGCAGGGAACCCACCTGTAGCTCTGGGGAGGGGGAAAGGCGGCGATGAGCAGGGGGCAGTGGCCAAACCACCTTGTGCATCCACTAGAAAGCACCAAGGGGCTGGATCCTTGCAGGGCTCCCAGCCCCTCTCCCAAGCTAAGCAGCACCGGTTTGGGCTACAGGGTGGATGGGAGACCTATAGGAAGAGGCTAGTGGTTCTGCAGTCAGTGCTGGGCCCAGGGGGCACCAGTGGCGAGCGGATTTAGGTGGCCAAAGTCCACCCTCCTTGCTCATGCCACATGGATTCTGCCCTCCAATGCCAGGAGGCATGACCGTGTGCTGTTCCTATGCTGCTCATGGTGCATCAGGCATGTTATACGTAGAGCGAGATGAAGTGCGGCCCCGCGTGGGCTCTGGGTGCGGAGCGGGGGTGTGGGGCTCATTGTCAGGGGGCAGAGGATGGGGGCTGCAGCCCTTCTTTGCCCGGCCACGTGTGGGCTTCCAGCTTCGAGCAGTTCTGCATCAATTACTGCAACGAGAAGCTGCAGCAGCTCTTCATCGAGCTCATCCTGAGGCAGGAGCAGGACGAGTACCAGCGGGAGGGCATCGAGTGGCAGCACGTGAGTGCCCATGGTGGGGGGTAGGTGCGGGTGCATGGCTCCCCAGGGCCACGTGCTCGCCCCGCTGACCCCTATCTCCCACAGATCGAGTACTTCAACAACCAGATCATCGTGGACCTGGTGGAGCAGCCGCACAAGGGCATCATCTCCCTGCTAGATGAGGCCTGCCTGACGGCCGGCACCGTCACTGATGCTCTCTTCCTCAACTCCATGGATTCCCGGCTGGGCCGGCACCCCCACTACACCAGTCGCAAGGTATGGGGGTGGGATAGGGATGCCCCCGACCCCTTCCTGCCTGCATTGGGAACAGGTTCCCCACCGCAGCCCTGTCCAGAGCGGGGCACAGGGCGTTGTGGAACGATGGCGGGGGCTGGTGGGAGCTCAGCAATGCATTCGGGGGGGGGGGTCTTGGCATGAGTGTGTGGGGCCAAGACGGGTCTGAAGGTGTGATAGGAGGGGGGGGTTGCCCCTTCTGGGGGCAGCAGGACAAGGCTGCCATCCCCCTCACTCTTGGCCCCACACTCGCAGCTCTGCCCCACAGACAAAACCCTGGAGTTCGGCCGGGATTTCCGCATCCGGCACTATGCCGGCGATGTCACGTGAGTCTGGGGTGCGCTGCTGGGAACGGGCAGCCCCACAGGGACTGCTCCCACCCTACCATGGCACCTGGCTTCGATGTCAGAGTGCAGCTGATCCTGGGGAGCCCCTGAGTCTCCACCCCCCACCGCTGCCCGGCAAGGGATGGGGCATGGGCAGGATCGCCAGGGCTGCAGGCTGGGGAGGCCTCTGTGAGCGTAGCCTGGCTGAGAGCTTGACTTGGATCCATGGGTTAGGTGTGGGGCTGCTCCTGCCCCCTTCTCCACCACCCCCAGAGCCAGGGAAGGAGGGGCCCTGCCCTCTCCCAGCAGGGCGTGGGTAACAGCAGCTGGTGGGGGAAGTGGAGGGAGAAGGCTTCAGCTCTTCCCCCCAAACCCACCACCCCTGCCCAGCTCAGAAGAGTCCCCGCCAGAGCTGTGGGGCAGGGAGTGAGCGGAGGAGCTGGCCTGGGTTTGGTGGCCAGTGTGTGTGTGTACATGTGCAACACTGGGCATGAGCATGTGTACGTGTGTGTTTGCACGTGTGTGCGCGTGCGCCTGACTGGACGGGTGTGCAGCTAAGTAGGCGTGCATACCTGTAGTGTTGGCCGTACATGTGTGTGTGCATGCAGCTGTGTGCACGTGTTTCTGAATGCAGGCCTGGATACATGTACCTGCCTGTCCAGATATCAGTGTACAAGTGTGGGCATCAGTGTGTTTGTGTTTGCACTTGGGCACGAACACATTTATCTGCATATGTGTGCGTGCATGACTGGATGCAGGCATACAGTTGTGTAGGTGTGCATACATGTGGTGGTCATGCATGTGTGTGTAGGTGTACACGTGTGTTCATGTGCATGGAGGCCCCTATGCTGTGAGCCCCTCTGCTCCCTTCCCTGCAGCACTGCATCCCTGCCACCCACAGCAAGGCCTGTGCCTCTGCCCTGTTTGGGGTCACTCAGCCCTGGGGGACGGCTGGTTTCTAGGTCCCTGCACAGGGTCTAATCCCCCGCCCCCAGGCTCAGCCCACCGCCATCCCAGACCTTCTCTGCACAGTGGCAGCAGCCCAGGTGCCACCCATTCAAAGTGCAGGTTGCTGGCTTTTAAGCCTTAAAGGTGCCATGGTCATTTTGGGTGGCAATGGGGCACCGCTTTTCTCCCTGTGTGGACCCACCCCAGAGGGACCCTGGGAGGGTCAGAGCAGGGATGGGCGGGGGGCTGAGGGTGGAAGGAGTGGGTGCAGTGCCCATGCCCTGTGCTGCAGGTACTCGGTGGAGGGTTTCATTGACAAGAACAAGGACACCCTCTTCCAGGACTTCAAGCGGCTTCTGTACAACAGGTAGGCGCCCTGGGCATCTGCCCTCTGCCTGCACAGGACTTTAACCAAGCCCCTCCCTGGCGGGCACCATACCATTGCACCCTGGGCTGGGCATGACCAGCAAGCAGAGGCACCAGGGATGGGGCAAGCAGGTTGTGGGTGCCCAGTACCACCTAGCCCTGAGCCCCTGGCAGGCTGACCAGGACCCGGGCTCTGGGACTTGAGTCCATCTGGAGGAGAACTGCCATCCATGGAGCCACAGAGCTCTGGGGCACGGCTGCCTGCTGGGGGTGGTGCTCTCATGGTCGTTGTGGCTCTACGTGGCCAGCTCGACCTGGGATGGGCTTGGACCCGGATGCGGCTCCATCATCCTCAGGGCAGTGCCAGACAGGGAGGGCTCTGCACGGCTCAGCTCGAGCACCAATATCCCTTCCGACTGGGGCTAGACCAGGCACTGTGAGGTGCCCAGCTTCCTTGGCATCCCCCCAGCACTGCGGGCACTGGCCAGGTTGTCATAGGAGGGGCTCCAGCTCCGGCCCAAGGCGGAGGAGCTGTGGGCGCTGCCAGGGGGGAGACAGTCCCCCCCAGAGAGCTGACGTGGTGCCGTGGGCTCTCTCCCAGCGCAGACCCCGTGGTGCAGGCCATGTGGCTGGACGGCGAGGCCAGCATCACCGAGGTGACCAAGCGCCCGCTGACGGCTGCCACCTTCTTCAAGAACTCCATTGTGGCACTGGTGGAGAACCTGGCCTCCAAGGTAACCCCGGGGCACCGGGCCTTGCCCACGTGCCATCACCCCTTCTGCCACAGGGGGCACTGCCACGCACCACGAGATGTGCCCTCCCTGGGGCGGAGCCTCACGGTTCCCACCCCTTGCCTGATAGGTCAGTTGTTTTGATTGGCAGGCAGTGGAGGCAGGGCTTCACCTGGTCTTCATAAAGGGCCGGGGTGCTGGAGCATGAGGTTCCTCCAGGCTGGGGCTGAGCACCCTCCCCAAGGCAGCCGAGGCAGACCCCATACCCTGGGCAGCGCTGCCCTGCCTGGTGCCAGCCAGAGCCAAGCAGCAGCCTGATGAGGGAGGGGTGGCTGGTTACAGCCTCTTGTATCTGCTCCTGGGTGCGCCCCCCCGCCCCGTTCCCCATCTGCAGGATCCTGGGGGGATGCAGGGGTGCCTGGCAGGGAGCACGGCATGATCAGCTGGGCGTTCGTTCCCGTGGCTCAGCCGTCACCTGCTCCCAGGCATTGCTGTAGCTAAAATTAGCCCCAGTTGGAAAAGGCAGCACGTGGGTGGGAGCAGGGGCAGGGAGCCAGCTACATGTCACGGGGGCAGACTGGCAGGGACGTGCACGCAGCCCCCACATGGAGACACAGGAACACACGTGCATGGCACCACAGACATGGGATACACACATCTGCACATGGGCATGCCCTGGCACACAGACCCCCCCCATCATGGGCATGCACACGCATGGGCATACATGCATGGACTCACATGCACAGACTCACCCCCCCCATGGACATGCATGCACATGGCTATGCCTGTATGGACTTGCATATGACGGTCCCCTGCACACACAGACATACGTGCATGGACTTGCATGCATAGACCTACCCCCCATGGATATACACACATGCACGCACACACACTTGGCTACATGTACATAGACTCACATACACAGATCCCCTGCACGCACGACCAGACATGCATATGTGGATTCACACAGACACACATGCACACAGCTATACGTGCCTGGGCTCACATACACAGACCCACTGCCTCCATGGACACGCTCAGCATGACTACACATTTATAGTCCCATACGCAGACCCCTACCCACAAGGAGACACACACAGACATGCACACACACAGCTACACAGGCATGGCCTCACATATATGCACACAGGCATACACATCTGGGGCTGTACATGCACGTGATGTAACGCACATGGGGACACATGCATGGGCATGCATAGATGCCCTCTGGCCCCCACAAGTAGACACAACTTGAGCCTGGAGTTAGTGAGCATGTGCCCAGGAGGTGTGGAGGTGACTCCCCCAGCCCTTCACAGCAGCCCTTGCTGGAGCCTGCTGGGGCACAGGCTGCATGCGCGTGTGGCAGCTGTGCCCCGCAGGGCCTCACAAGCTGGTGTCAGAGGCTGCCCCAGGGCCATTAGGTCCAAGCCAGGTGGGGCTGGGAGGAGCCTGGCCCCACCCTGCAGCCTCCGCCCCAGACCCCCTTGGGGTCCCCCAGATCCCCTGTGCTACTCACGTCCCTCCTGCCCTGCCCCTGCAGGAGCCCTACTACGTGCGCTGCATCAAGCCCAATGACCACAAGTCGCCCATGGCCTTCGACGAGGAACGCTGCCGCCACCAGGTCGCCTACCTGGGGCTACTGGAGAACGTGCGTGTGCGACGCGCCGGCTTTGCCTCCCGCCAGCCCTACGGCCGCTTCCTGCTCCGGTATGGCCCCCCGTTCCCTGATCCTTGACCCCTGGCCCCACTGGCTTTGCCTCCTGCCAGCCCTATGGCCACTTCCTGCTCCAGTATGACCCCACCCCATTCCCTGACCCCACTGGCTTTGCTTCCCACTAGCCCTATGGCTGCTTCCTGCTCTGGTCCACCCCCACACCCCTTCAGGCCCTGACCCCAGTGGCTTTGCCTCCTGCCAGCCCTACGGCCGCTTCCTGCTCCAGTATGATCCCCCTGTGCCCTGACCCCTGACCCCACTGGCTTTGCCTCCTACCAGCCCTACAACACCTTCCTGTACTGGTATGGTGCCCCTGACCCTGATCTCTGACCCTGCTGTCTTTGCCTCCCACCAGCCCTGTAGCCGTTTCCTGCTCTGATACAACCCCCCGCCCTGTGCCCTGACCCCCAACCCCTAACCCTGCCAGCTTGGCCTCCTGCCAGCCCTACAGCCACTTCCTGCTGAGGTATGGCTCCCTCCCAACCCCTGACGCTAGTCTCTGACCCCACTGGCTTCACCTCCTGCCAGCCCTACGGCCACTTCCTGCTGAGGTATGGCTCCCTCCCAACCCCTGATGCTAGTCTCTGACCCCACTGGCTTCACCTCCTGCCAGCCCTATGGCCACTTCCTGCTATGGCATATGACCCCTCTTGCCCTGACGCCTGACCCCCAACCCCGCCAGCTTCGCCTTCCACCAGCTTCACCACCTACCAGCCCTGTGGCCGCTTCTTGCTCTGGTTTGGACTCTCCCTGACCCCAGCCCTGCCATCTCGTGACCTTTTCCTGCTCCAGTATATCCCCCACCTAGTCCTGACCCCAACCCTGCTGGTTGCTCTTCCCTGCTCTACCCACACTACCTCCCTCTGTGCCCCACCAAGCCACGGTTGCCCCCTCCCTGGGCATCCCTGCCTCACCCCTGCTTCCTCCAAGGGGTCAGGATAGGCCATGCCCAGGCCCTGACCCCTCTGGGCACCTGTGGTAGGTACAAGATGACATGTGAGTACACATGGCCCAACCACCTGATGGCCACGGACCAGGAGGCCACGCAGGCGCTGGTGGACCAACATGGGCTGCAGGGTGAGGTGGCCTATGGGCGCTCCAAGCTCTTCATCCGCACACCCCGCACCCTCGTGGCACTGGAGCAGGCGCGGGCCCAGCTCGTGCCCATCATCGTCCTGCTGCTGCAGAAGGTTCGATGGGTTCCCTCCCCAGTGCTGGGAGGGGGGTGGAGCAGAGAGGGTTAATGTCTCAGGGAGTGGGAGTCAGGATGCCCGGGAGGGGAACGGGGTCCAGGGAGTCTGCGGGGGTGCGGACAGTATTGACAGTCAGGACACCTGGGTTTTGCCCCCAGTGCAGGAGGGGGGCAGGGTCTAGGGGTCCTGTCTGTCCGCGGAGTCACTCAATTGCAGCCACCTCTGGGGTGGGATGCGGCCACCACTGGGGGTGGGGGGCAAGTGGCTGCCGTCTCCCCCTCCCTAGTTGGGCTGGGCTGTGACAAGCGGGTGGGCATGTGCTGCAGGCATGGCGAGGTGCCCTGGCGCGGAGGCGATGCCGGCAGCTGCGCGCCATCTACACCATCATGGACCACTTCCGGCG